TCGGCCACCTCCCGATCCTTCTCCAAACACTCCCTGATGCGCTTCAGAAGCGACTGATCGGCCGTCACCGAGGCATGGCCGCGTCTGGCGGAGGCGATGCGGAAACGCTCCGGCTTGAGAACTACCTGATCGGTGTTATCGTCCTCATCGCCGATCTGATGGTCCGATCGTCGCGACAGGGCATCAGCCTTTCCATTCGACGTTCCGGCCTTGTGCGTGATGCGGAAGTCAAAGCGAGCCAGGAAGAGCGACCACCGCGCTTGACGACGCGTGAGATGCTGGGATGTACGCCAGTACTCGAGGTTCTTGTGATCGGTTACGATCTCGAACTGATTGGGCAACCCCTCGAGATAGTGGCGCCAATCGTCTAGCGCCTCGATGATTGCGAGCATCTCCTTATCGTAGATCTCGTAGTTCCGCTGTGCCGGATCCATCGCATGGGATCTGAAGGCAATAGGGTGCCATTTGCCATCATCCTGCTTCTGCATCAACACGCCGCCGGTGGCGTACCCTGAGGCATCGACTTCAATGCGCGTTTCCCGGTTAGGGTCGTACAGCGCCAAGACTGGAGTCGTCGCGAAGAGCCGCTTGAGCTCGTCGAAGGCATGCTGCTCCTCTTCGCCCCAATGCCATGGGTCGTTCCCTGTGAGCCGGTCGAGTGGTCGCGAGATCTTAGCGAAGTCCTTAATGAAGCGGCGGTAGAAGTTGGAGAACCCCCGGAACTTCTGAACATCTTTTTTGTTCCGGGGTACCGGCCACTCATTAATTCCTTTAAGCTTCGCGGGATCCATCGCCACCTCATCGCCACCGAACACATAGCCGACGTAGTCGACCTTGGGAACGTCCCATTCGCACTTCTCAGGCTTCAGGAATAGATCGTTGTCCTGAAGGCGACGAAGAACCTCGCGTGTGACTTTTTCGTGCTCCTCCTTGTTGGTAGAGAAGATGAGTATGTCATCAAGGTATACGAGGATCTTGCCACCGACGATGAGATCGTGGAAGATCTCGTTCATCATCGCCTGGAAGGTCGCGGGGGAGTTGGTGAGACCGAAGAACATTACCAAGGGCTCGTACAACCCTCGGTTAGTTACAAACGCCGCCTTCCACTCGTCACCGGCTTTGATCCGGACGTTGTTATATCCCCACCGGACATCGAACTTCGTAAAGAGCGTAGCACCGCGGAGCTTGTCCACCATTTCGGCGATCAACGGCAAGGGGTAACGATTCTTGACCGTGATTGCATTCAATCGGCGGTAGTCCTGCACGGGTCGAAGCGTCCCTTCCTTCTTTTTGATGAAGAAGAAAGGCGACGAAATGGGCGACTTCGATTCCCGTATATAACCTTTCGCTAACTGCTCCTTCAGGAACTTGTCAAGTTCCTCCTGTTCATTATTTGACAGGGGGTACACTTTCGAGTGGAACGTCGAGTAGCCGGGCACGAGTTCAATCGCGTGATCGTAAGGCTTCCTTTCGGGTAGCCGTTCGGATGCTTCCTTGGAGAAGACATTCAGGAACTCGTGGTACTGTTTGGGTACCGACTCCTCGGCGGTCTTAACGACCTTCTTCTTGATCTCTTCCTCAGCGAACAGCTGGGAATACGTGTGCCCTGCTGCGATGAACAGCTGAGGGGCGCCGGGAAGCGTGATACCTTGCTCCCAGGCCTCGATCAAGTCAGCCTCGCTCCACTCTACCTCCACTGGATCATCTTCGGGTTCGAAGTCCGGGAGCACCTTGCTCCGGCAAGCGCCTATGACCGACCGTTTGGACTTCGGCGAACGCCTGCGCGCCGTGGGCCTGACCCCCGTATCACGCGCAGTCGCCGCTTGCTCCATTGGGCCAGTCCTTCTGGTATTGCATGTTTCAGGGCATCGCGACAATTTGAGGGAGCCCTTCTCCCAATCTATTTCGGGGTTGTGCTCGCGTAGCCAATCCAACCCGACGATCACATCCTCTGGACCGATGTCCGTGACCGTAAACACCGTCTTCTCGACGTGCTCTCCTATATGCATCTGTAGCACCGCTACCTCCGAGATGCTTCCGTCCTTATTCAGGGTGCCGTCAATATTATACAGCGGAATTGGTTCCTTCAACTTCCGCGTCTGCACCTTATTTTCTAAAATGAACCGCTTGTTGATAAACTTGGTGGTGGCTCCACTGTCCACCATAGCGATTATGTCCTTGTGCCGTCTTTTTCCTTGAAGTCGAACTGGGATGTGAAAGTGCTGGGACCCCTGGTCCAGCTCGTACACCATTGCAGTCGACAATACGTTATATTTATTACATGATGATACTCGCGGCCCGACGCGTGCGGCACGAAGCGCGGACCGGATCAAAAACCCTCCTCCTTCATCGCCCGATAGTGCTCGAGCTCCTCGCGCATCGACTTCACCTGTGCCATTAAGTCCGCCAGCTCCGATTGCTCGGATTTCGCTGAAGCGGCACTTATACTTGCCGAGGGTGTTGTCGTGACGGGGGCGCTTGTCGCAGCCTGGGTGGAGCCCGAGGCAACCGTAGCCCGCGCGTCGGCGCGTTTTGTGTAAGGCTTGTCCTTACAATTGGGGCACTCGAAGCGTCGGTACCCTTGCTTCCCACAGCCGAAGCATGTGCCGGGGAAGTTTCCTTTTCCGACGGCCGCATTGATGCTGGCCGATGCTGCGTGCGTCGAGGGTGCACCACCACGTGCCCCACCGCGTCCTCGACCTCGCGCCGAGAAGAAGCTGTTTAGCTCGGGCCGACGAGCCCGGCTAACGTCGAGGATTTGCTCGACCTCGGTGGCGCGCTTGTCAGCGGCTTGCCACGTGGCGAAGGTTTCGAGCTCGAGTTTGCGATAGACGCGGGAGGGGATGCCGCTCAGGTACTTGTCGCGTAGTTCCAGGTTCCCATACCCGGAACGGTCTGCCGGACCTTTGAACAGCGCAGAGAATTCTGCGGCGGTGCGCTTCTCGCGCATGGTTTTGTCGGAGCAGAGCTTGGTAAGCTCCACCTGTGCCGCGGCGGCGTCGTCGAGGTTGCCAAAACGGGCCTTGAATGCCTGAAGGAAGGCTTTTTCGTCGACAAAGGGGGTTGTCGCTCCCTGGATCCCGATTTGGACGGAGGCAAGCTGGGAGAAGATGGGGGTGGCCCAAGCTCGCGCGTCACCATCGAGGAGACTGAGGGCAACCTGGATCTTCAGCTCGAGGGAAGAGAGGGCCGTGTTGATCGTCCAGTAGATGAGCAACTGCGAGATGAAGCGGTTGCATTCGATCACCGACTTCCCATCGTATCGGAGCGGGAGGAGGAGCTTCAACGTCTCCTTATCAGGGACGGCAGCGGGAGAGGACATTATCGGCGACGAGGGGGACGAAGGACTGCCCGCGGACGAAGGCGACTGTTGTGACTGTCCGCCGGGCGGACTTCTCGAGGAACGAGTGCTTGAGCGGCCTCGCGGCGGCGACGGCGGTGAAGCCGGTTGAGGAAGCCCGGAGGCGGGGTGACGTAGGATAGGGACTGAAGTCGAGGCGGTGACCGCTGACGACGAGCTGGCCCAAGGA